AGAAGAGGGTGTCTCTTGACGGAATTTTTCCAACATGTCGCGTTCTTGCTGAGTCAGATGTTCCATGGCGAGATCGTCGAGAGAAATAAAGTCTCTTTCCGATTTACCACCGCACTTATAGGATGTGGTGAGGTGACGTCATGTCTTTGGTGATTCGAATCCGACCCACTTCCCGCCATCTTTCTCTTTCGACAAAATACCATGCAGGTGAACCCATTCTTCTTCCACCTCTATCATCCTCATCATATTCATGATCTGTGCGAGGAAAGTAGTCCCACGACAGAAAGGTCATGAGTCGCATGTACAGGACTTGAGCGGAGATCCCCATCTCTTCGTAATCAGATTCGTCTTCGATGTCTCGCCTCTCCATCCACCGCCAACGAAACTCTTTCCAATCCTGATCGCTGAGCACGTATCGGTCCGGCCACTCTTGACCTCTCTTTTCCGTCCGTYCCATCCAGTCTTTGATCATCGGTCGATCTCGGAGATCGAAACACCGCAACGTAACAGTCATGACTGAAATCCTCTCTCTGTTTTGGTTTTATGAACTCGTTTTGACGCGTTTGGGATCAGGTTCGACTTCTTCCATTCTTTCTTCTTCTTCTTTTTCTGGAAACGCTTTGGCGCCAAACAATGGCAAACGTGAACCAAAAGGGGTGAAGCCTGCTTTCACTGGGTATGTGACATTACTGGTGTTGTTGTTCGAACCAAATGTGTGTTCGAACTTGCCCACTGTTGTTGAAAAACTAGAACCCAATCCACCGCTGCTGTTGTTGGTGCTGGAACTAGGACCCAGTCCACCAAAACGAGTGATGGACGGTCTGGTATTGGGATGATGGGTTTTAAGATATTCGTATGCTTCGACGGCGTTGGCGGACGGAGCCTGGAASGTGAACATACTCTCATCTCGTTTATCGTTCAAGGTCACATTGTAAGACCACACATTCCATTGAGGRWMGAACGATKCCTCGATCCGTTCGATCACGACCGTTTCCCCCGTCGTCGACACCAACCGAACGAGTCTCATGTTCTGGAACACGTCGCTCTTCTTCTTCTTGTTTTCTTTTTTATCCCACGTGAACGTGGTCACCAAACAATCTTCTTTGACCTCGATGCGAAACATGTCAATGCACAAATGATTTTTTCCCCTACGCTCCTCGCTCTTTATGACCGTTGCAACGAAACCATAAAATTCACCACTCTCTCCAAAAATCGCATCACATCGACGCAACCACCGTTCCGAGATGAAGGCCTTATCTCCATCGCAACGCGAATTCCTCCACAAGGTGATCGGTTACGCTTACGTCGAATCCTGCGTTCAAAAAATGCTGAATCGGATTAGAGAC